CATAACCATTTTCAGTACTTTACAGACATGAGTATCTGAGAAATGTTGGTACTTGGCTGTAATCCTCAGGAGGATCATAAACTCAAGTTCAAGAACAGCCTTCATAAAACAAACAAACATTCTTTCTGATGGAGGCATAGAATTCCATTGTGTGTGTGTGCGTGTGTGTGTGTGTGTATCTCACATTTTCTCGATTCATTCATCTACTGAGGGGCATCTGCGTTGGTTCCACATCGTAGCTATGGTGAATAATGCTGCGATAAACATAGTTGTGCTGGTAGCCTTAGTATTGCCTTGTTATCATCCGGGTAAATGCCCAAAAGTGGGATTGCTGGGTCATAGGGGAGCTCTATATGGAATCTTTTGAGGAACCTCCATACTACTATTCAAAGGGCTTGAACAAGTTCTCCCACCAACAATTTAGTAGGGTTCGCTTCTAGCCACATCCCCTCAGGCACCTGTTGTTATTAGCGTTCTTAATTATTGACATTCTAACTGGGGTGAGGTGGAATCTAAATGTTGTTTTGATTTGCATTTCTTTTATGGCTAGAGAGGTTGGGCATTTCTTCATATGTCTATTGGCCATCCTTCTTTCCTCTTCAGAGAAGTTTCTCTGTAATTCTTTAGGCCACTTATTTATCAGGCAGTTGTTGCTTTGAGGATTTGTTGTTGGGAGATTTAATTTTTTGAGTTCCAGGTATAATTTAGATCTGAGACCCTTGTCCACTGTATGGCTAGTGAAGATCTTCTCCCAATTTGTGGACTTTCTATTGATTTCGTTAGCTATGTCCTTTGCCATGCAGAAGCTCTGCAGCCTTATGCAATCCCATTTTCCAACCTTTCTTTGATTTGTTATGTTTCTGGGTCTCTATTAAGAAAATTTCGGGCTGTGCCAAGAAGACCTAGGGTCCTATTTCTTCCTGTAAAGTTTTCAGGATGTATGCTTTGACTTCAAGGTCTTTGATCCATTTGGAGTTGATTCTGGTGCAGGGTGATATATAAAGATCTAGGTTTAGTTTTCTACAGGTGATTAACCATATTTGCTGCAGCAACACAAAAGTGAAACTTTTTCCTGCTATGTCATGAATAGCAAATTCCTTTCATTCTGAGCTAGAGTCATCTCCTCTCTATCAGCACTGATAAAAGAATAACACATTAACATTTTAGATGAAATTACATTAAAATCCAAGACATTATACAGCTACCATCAATACAATGTGGGAACTTACTATGACTTTCAATCTATATATAGGGTGTTAGTTTAGTTGCTTGGTCCAGAAAATAATCTCCTTTAAATCTTTTCCTTTTAATTTTTTAATTAAGCAACTTGAATAGGAGGCCCCAACCTTATGTAAAAATCCATTAAATCCAAATATTGAAAGCCAACTATTCTTGCAAATGTTTTATATTGAAAGCACTACACAAGGATTATTTAACTACAGTGGAATATTCTGAGAAAGAATTCTGAATTTTTTAAGAACAAATACTATATTCTTTCTAAGCTAGTTAAAAGTTTTATCTATTAGTATGACACTAAATTATTCATTTTTGATGTTGCAACATAAGGACCGAGTACTTTTCCCAGAGTATAATAGTGCCTGTTAAAGAAAAACATTCCAGCTCAGAAATTTGAATGTTATTTGCACTCATCTTCTACTTCAAATAAATATCAACACTTTAAAAATAACATAACTTGAAGTGCAAGTCACCCTAACTTACATAAAGTTACAGAAAGTGTCAGGGAAAATTGCTTTTCCCTAATACTTATCAGGAGTGCACACAGCCCTTATCTTGGATAGGCAAAATAATGTGAAGTATCTTGGATTTTTACCTTTTGCCAGCTTCGCAATTTTACTTAGAAGGATAGTGTAATTTATAATGAGTATTAAATGGCAATAATTCGATTAATTGATAGATGCTATGATCTCTCGGATCAATTTTTATAGAAGTACCTATAATGAAATGAAAGTGTGAGTAAGAAACCAAAGACAACAAAAACTGTTTTCCACATTATCTAATGAATGGAATGATTGTCATGAATAGCATAAGAATAAGGATCTTGGAGGGCATCCATGGCTCATGCCTCTAATCCTAGCTACACAGGAGGCTGAAATCTAATCCTTGCAAACAAATTAATCAAGCAAAGTGCAGAAGTAGAGGTGTGACCCAAATGATAAAACACAACACCAGCCTTAAGTGGAAAAGCCAATCAAAAATGAGAAGCTCTGAATTCAAGCCTCTTTAGCATAGAGAATTCTGAATGATAATATAATCTAGATTAATTTATTTTGATTGGATTGTCTAGATTAATTTATTTTGATTGGATTGTCTATTTAGTAAATAGTCATAATATTAGCTTTTATTCTTAATGATAAACTTATGTACTCAAAAAAGTAATAACCTAGAGATTTCATTTGACTAAAATACTGTTTATACATGTGTGAAATATTCATATATAGAAAAGTCTTTTTAAATACTTGACATAACGAAAACCAGAATGTAGGAGAAGTCCTGTCCTATGTGTAGGTATTAGTGGGAGGGGAAAGGCAAGTAGAAAGAGAAGATATGTAGGTATAGTCAAAGTACCTTATGTGCCTGTGTGAAAATTGAATAATGAAGGTTGTTGAAATTGTTTGCAAAAAGAGAGGGCTTGGGTATGAAAATGATGGAGGGACTTGGATCAAGGTACATTGTATGCTTACATGGGCATGTCAAAGTGAATGCCTCTCATACAACTTAATGATTCTAAGAGAAGTGTGGGGGAAATGATACATGAAATGAGGCAAAGATTGGATGTGCAAAAATAATGAAAATTGGTAACTTCTAACGAAATTGAAGGTTAAAATGAATCATAATCATGTCAATAAATGCAGAAAAAAGCCTTTAAAAAAACCCAACATCCTCTTATGATGAAAGGTCTAGAGAAACATGGAAAAAAAGGAGGAAAACCAACAGCCAAAATTATGCTCAATGGTGAACAACTGTAACTATGTCCTCCCAAATCAGGAATAAGAAAAGACGCCCACTTTCTACACTGTATTCGATGTACTACTGGATTTCCTAGTCAGAGATATTAGGCAAGAGAAGCATATCAAAAATATCCAAATTGTTAGGATACAGAAAATCTACTAATTTCTGTGTTGATCTTTTGCACTTTCTCAAAGTTGCTTACACACACACACACACACACACACACACACACACACACACACAAATGAATAATAAGGAGATGAAGGACATCTACAATAAGAACTATACTATATTTGGAGAAAAAATACAATAAATATGCCAAGAAGTGGAAAGATCTCCTGCATTTATAGATTGGCATAATTAAGATAATCTAAATGGTTATGTTGCTAACAATTGCCTGCAAATTCAATGCAACATCCAAGGGAATTCTTTACAGAGATATAAATAATCCAAAAAAGGCATATAGATACACGTAGGCCCCAAGTAGCCAAAGAAATCTTGAATTACAACTAGAAAACAATACTGGAGGTATGACAATTCCAGTCTTCAAACTACACTACAAAACCACAGTAACGCAAACATCTTGTTACTAGCACTAAAAAGGATCTGAAACCCCATGGAATGAACTAGAATACCCAGAAACAAATCTGCACATCTACAGCCATCTGTCCTTTTTAAAAGCAACTAATATATTTAGGAAAAAGCCACTTCATCAAATGGTATTAGAGAAACTGAATATCCATATGCAGAAGACTGAAATGTGATCTCTGTGTATCAATTTTGTATTAGTATCCCTTCAAGTATGTAAAAGACCTCATTGCAAGACCTGAAACCTTGAAACTACTACAAGAAAGGATATGGCAAACATTAGCAATTATTGACATAGGTAGAGACTTTCTCAATAGATTTCATGTGGCTCAGAAAATAGGAAAGAAAATGGATAAATAAGAATAAACCAGGCTAAACAGCTTCTATAAAACAAAGAATCTAATCTCTAAGCTAAACAAACAGCCTATAGCATGGAAAATTTTTGTCAGCTTTACAACGGACAATGGAATAACTACAATATACAACAAACTATGAAACCTAAACCCCAAAGAATCAATAATAAATGAAGAGCCAATTAAAAATGGTCAAAGGAGATAGACACTACTGAAAACAAAAAGCCATTAATACATGAAAATATACAAATTCTCATTCTAAGCTGTAACCTTCCTTGAAGTAAATGCTCTTTAAAACAATTTAATTCAGTTAATACATTTTCAACTGTATCTGGAAATTAAAAAATGATCAATGAAAATAAATTATATTGTTAGTCATTCAGTATTATAATCTACTCATAAAATACACAATATACATTGTACAAAATATTTTAAGTATTTTAAATAAATGAGCTTGAGTCATACAGAACTGAATTATTAGTAATAGTTGACAATCCTGATTTGCATCATAGTAGAACACAAAATTATCATGAGCCTTGTTTTCTTTTTCTTATCTTGCAGTATTTGGCAAAAAGGAGACTTGAGCTTCCGTTAAGAAATAAAACATGGCAAGTATAATTATTCCAAATCCATTTGCTTGTAGAGAAAACACATTTTGCAAATTCCTCTTTAAATTTAAAACAATTTCAACATGTCTCATTACAGAAAACTTCGCTGGAGAATTTTTCAGCTCCATATAATCTGCAATCAGCTCCTAAGGAGCTAATTCCTTTGCAATAAACAAGAGACTGCCTCTTACAATCAATATTAATCTATTATAAGTGAGACCCTGCACTTGTCTGTGAACAATCTCATTTAACATGTCATTACCACACATAATGAGCTTACTATAATAAACTATACTTTTATCAAAGACAAACTTAAAACTGCTGATATGGAAATAACTATAATAAAGTTATAATTATATAATGATTGTATTTTATATAAAAATCATGAAAATCTGTTTTTCCTTTGTAATTATCTCCATAGCATTTAGTCATATTAATTATAATGTCATATATTTACAAAAGACCAATCAGTCTCTTTTTTTTAATTATAAAACACTTCGTGAATTTGCGTGTCATCCTTGCGCAGAGCTGTGCTAATCTTCTTGGCATAGCTCCAATTTTAGTGTATGTGCTGCTGAAGTGAGCACGACTAATCAGTCTTGAATCTAGGTCTCATTTTGTGTTTTCTTGAAAAAATAAAGGAACTAGTTATAAGCTCACAAAATATTGCAGAATGACATTGACATATTGTCTTTCAAACTGAAAAGATTCACTGATATCAAGCCTATAAACAGCAAACACTAACTTATTTACAGCTTATTTGTCATATTAAGTAAAATGAAATAATCCTAAATTGTTTCTGCTGTTGTTGTATGTGTTTTTGTTTGTTTATTTGTACATTTTTTATTGTAAAAATGCTGTGCAGAGAGGTTACAGTTACTGAGCAAGGTAATGAGTACATTTCCTATTGAGCATTGTTGCCTCCTTCTTTGTTTTTCCCCTACTCTCCTTTCCCTCCCACTTCCCCAACAATGCTCAATAGGAAATGTACTCATTACCTTGCTTATATAGCTATAACCCTTCTGTACAGCATTTTTATGATAAAAATGTAATTTAAAAAATCCAAAGAGGTATGCCAGGTGGTCTGAATGGGTGCTGTACGTATGGCCACAACTCTAGATTTAAGAAACTCAAGTACTTTATAGCAGGCAATAAACTGCATAATCTATGACACAGAGGAAGAAGACATTGTCTTCATTATTCCAGACAGAGAGCCCACCTGCTCTGTTCCCCTAGTGAGACATAACTATTTCTTCCAAAACTATTTGCTATGTATACATTTTTTTAACAGTGACGCTGATTACAAGTTAAGAAGACATGAGAGAGCATTATGGAGAATTAATTAATAACCTAGACTTTCTTAAAAATTTCCCTCAGCTCTCTGTATATTCTAGATACCAGGTGTCTGTCTGATGTATAGCTGGCAATGATCAACAATTCTCTGTCTTGGTAAAATTTTTAGGTCATTAGAGGAAATTATTTTCTTACTTAAATAAGGACATTGAGTTCCAAACTCTAATATTTCATTCCACTTGAAGATTTTTTTCTTCATATTACTGAAGGATGCCTTTATGAATGTAATCAAGTATATTGATTGCATATGAATAGTGATATGTATTCAAATGTCAATAAAATACTGGACATAAAAAGAGATGAAACTCAGACAAGGAACTCTCCAGTATTTTAGATGTCTATTACTTGTCCTCGTCCTTTCTGACTATGCCATTAAAGATCCCAGGAAATGCCTGGGCTTAATGACAAAAATTATAAAACAACTCAACATGATTTCATGGTTATGTATAGTACTTTTATAGTGTTTTGTTTTATAGTATTATCTTATGAAATAAAGCAAGGCAAATGGGTATCTATATGCAGTGTGGAAATACATGTAAAAGTTGGATACAAGTGAAAGCCCCCAAAAGAAAACAAATGAAACAAAGTGAAAAAGAGAAGAATAGGTCAGTCAACATGGGGACAAAGTCTTATTTCAAATGTAATAGGTAATTTTGAAGAGGAATTCAAGTTCCTAGCATAACACAAGACATAAACATGTTTTTGTTTGTTCATTTGTGTGTTTCGGTTTTGAGGATCATACACAGGCTTCATGCATGTTGGCCAAAGGCTTTACCTTTGAGCAGTATCTCTGGTTTGTATGATTACTTTCTTTGAACATTCTTCTAGGCTTTGAAGACACAGAGAATGCTAAATGTTTCTTCTATCCTCAGAAAGATATAATGAAGTTTTCAAGAAGAATAGCCCATTATATCCAACCGGACAGGTATCATATTAGAAGTGTGCACACATGGTAATACCTTTTTATCATTTCTCCCCTATCATAAGAACTACTAAACACCGTAAGTATGCTAAGCATAAAAATGCAGTTTTGGTCGGGTGCCGGTGGCTCACGCCTGTAATCCTAACTACTCAGAAGGCTGAGATCTCAGGATCAAAGCCAAACCAGGGCAGGAAAGTCCATGATATTCTTATCTCCAATAAACCACTAGAAAACTGGAAGTGGTGCTGTGGCTCAAGCAGTAGAGCGCTCACCTTGAGCTGAAGAGCTGAGGGACAGCACCCAGGCCCCACAACTGACAAAATAAATAAATAAATAAATAAGTAAATAAATGCAGTTTTGAAAACCATAATTTAGTTTTTACTCAATACTAATTCTAAAATAAAATAATATTAAAATAAAAGTTATATTTTCTCAGTCAAGCTGATTTTTTTCTGGCCAGTTAAGAAAATGTTTAACTATTTTTTTCCCTTTCATTTTTTTCTTTAAATTTTATTTCATTGTTAAGATGTTGTACAGAGGGGTTACAGTTACATGAGTAAGGCAATGAGTACATTACTTGTCCATCATTGTTCTCCTTCTCATTCTTGTTGTCCCACTATCCCTTCCCCCCCTCAGCTCCCACACTCTGACCCTCCCCTCCCCATCCTTGCCGACCGATATTGTAAAGTTCATTTCCAATATACTGTCCAGTGGGTATCACTGTTGCAATGGGTCATCCTGTATCCTCGGTTCAGTGTTTTGTTATTCGGCTTCCCCTCCCTAGATTAGACATATGTATATAAAAGATGTAGGGTATCAAAATCGAGTACAGTGACAACAGAGGATATGCCATAGTGGAAAGAACATATAAAGGCAACAACAACAAAAAATAATAAAATCACATGGTATATTTAAGACAGTAACAATAAAGATCTCTTGTGTCCATAGCTTGTGGTTCATTTCACTTAGCATCATGTTATATGGTCATTTGTACATGGTTTTTGAGCTTTTCAGCTCATCTCATAAGATTATCCTATATGTACACTAAGCAGTATGGAGGTTCCTCAACGGACTCCACATAGAGGTCCCCTATGACCCAGCAATTCCACTTTTGGGCATATACTCAAATGATCACAAACAAGACCACACTAAAACTACCAGCACAACTATGTTTATTGCAGCATTATTTACCATAGCTAATATATGGAACCAACCCAGATGCCCCTCAGTAGATGAATGGGTCAAGAAAATGTGGTATATATACACAATGGAATTCTATGCTTCCATCAGCAGCATGGAGATGGAAAGACTGGGGAAAAATCATATTAAGTGAAGTTACCCAGTTCCAAAGAAATTTAGATCCTATGGTTTCCCTTATTTGCAATAATTTGTATCCATAGAGGATAATTTTTCCCTTTTAGAAGTATAAGATAATCATTGATCAACATAATGTACATAGAAACTTGAAATGACAACTAAATTGACAAATTCTGTCTGGGTGTCACTTTTGTTGTCAAATACATCCTAAATAATAAGCTAAAACATAAAAAGTTTTATATAGAAAATCTGCTGACATAGTTTATTATTTTTAAATAATTATTAAATTTCAAGTAAATTAAATTTTAAATAATTATTAAAATTATTAAAAATTACACAATTATTAAAAACTTACTTAAAATATTTTAGAAAGACTTTAACCATCTTGAAGTAAAAACAAATGTAATTTTTCATGTAGTTTGTGATGGATGTCATAGAAAGATTTATGAGCAGTGAAATACAATTATTAGTTATCTCCAACTAACCATGAAACAAATAAATGGTCAGATAAGTGATGATTAAAATGTGACAAGTAATTGAATAAGAAGTAAAAGTAATGCCATATGATCGTACTGTGTAATCTAAGAACACGATTTTATATGAATAAAGTAATTACAAAGCAGTTAAACATAATGTAATTCTTAGGGAAGAACAGAAATACACCAGCTTTTGAAGATGGAAACTGAAAATTAGCTATTGTGTCATACTTCAGGAGACAATAGCGATGACTTTACTCCCTATAGGAACTATTCTGGATTCTGGATGTGACTTATGAACAAGATACTTAATTAAGATTATATTTCAGTGAACCAAAGCTTTCAGTGCAAATTAGTTGAGGCAAGATCTCAGTCATCTGTATCGTCTTACCATTTACTTTTATTTCTACATTCCATTAGGCTAACATTAATTCAATTTGTGCTAACAGTTGAGTGATTCAGTCATTTCTAAGAAATGCTGTTTACCACTGTGTGTTTATGTAGATGGAAAGAAAAAAGAGCTTAGACAGACACAGTTTGAAATAACAATCAGTTTCAAACATTCAACTCTTAGTGAAGCCATAGTATCCAGTGGGATCATGAAAGAGCCCTTCCCTAGGCATGTTTGCCTCTGGAGGACCTTCCTGCTAAGTCAGATATTGGGGTGGGACTAAGATGGAAGTCTAAGTTCTCACTTTTTGTTGCATTCGTTGTGAGCCTGACTTCCACAGGGCCTTTGCACACACCTCTTTCTACTTGGACTCTTCCCCCAGTGTGTGTTTTGTTTCCTTATAAAATTTCATTTTCAACTAAACTGTTCTCTTTTAAGAATAAGGACTATCCTGACCATCTCTAGTCCCCTGTCTAGCTCCATTTTTCTTTATAAACATTATTATTTGTATCATGGTGCTCTCTTTTAATTAATTGATTGTTTGATTTCATTATTTATTCATTACAATACTGAATATTAAATCTGGGACCTAACACATATTAGGCAAATGTACTGCCACGAAGCTACACCCTCATCCTTTAAAAGTATGTTTTTTTGAGCCGAAGTCTAGCTCAGTTCTCAGGCTGCCCTGGAATGTGAGGGTCTTCTGCTCAGCCTTCCAAGTAGCTGGGATTATGTGTGTGTGCGTCCATGCCTCATTCAGTGTCTTAATTTTGCAACATTCTTTCTCCCACTATGTTTGCCCATATGAACATATACTATACACAAGAGAGGGATGTTTAAAGTTTGGGTCCAGAGTTTGGAAGATGACCAGGCCATAAAGACACTGAAAAATACCTGGAAATACATATGTGCTTGTGAGAAACTCCAGATTTTCTTAGTAAACTGAGGAAAGATGCCTTTGTAGAGGCACGATTGATTAAATTCAAACTCATCTTACTGCGTCATCGAGTTTCAAAATGAAGAAAAATCACAATAAAAAGTAAGAGATGGGACTAGGAATGTGACTTAGTGGTAGAGTACTTGCTTAGCATGCATGAAGCCCTGGGTTCAATTCTTTAATATCAC